TGATATAGATTAAAAAATTCATAAGATACCAAAAGAAGGTTCAAAGATACTTAAAAAAAAAAAAAGAAGAAGTTTAAAGTGCAATTAATGAGTTAAGAGAACAAATAAGTAACTTCTCTCCCCTTTTTTTCACAAAAATAGTTTTTTTTTTTTTGAAACGCAATAGTTTTGTTTTGTTTATCCACAAGAAAAGAAAAGAAAAGAAAAGGAATAGGGTGGTGGGTGCATAGTGGGTGGTTGTTAGGAAGTACATGGTCATAGTTAATAAATGTGGGGTTAATAAGCCCAAGGCAATGGCAGCTACACAAAAGAAATCATTAATGGTTGATAAGAATAGAAGCTTTCATTCAATTCAAAAGGTTTACAGCATTACATTTGGGGTGGCAAGTTTGTTGGGCTGTAGTTTAGTAGTTATATGATTTCTAGGACGCCACTCACGCATTGCTTTTGGGCTCATTTTTCTCACCATCATTTAAATTAAACAAAAAAGTATTTTTTAGAACTCACAAATTTCTTTTCTTTATACTATTTCATTAATGAAATTTTAATAATTTTAGTGTTTAAAATTCGCTTTTATCATACAATCCAATATAAAAAAAACATAAATTTCTAAATTAAAGGTAGTTTTGTGCATTAGTAGTATGGACTTGTGAAGTGTGATTCTTCCTTATTGTCTTGTGGTGATTTATTTAATTTGTTCAACAAACAAAATAGAAGAAGTTAACCTGTTGAGTTTCACTCAAGTAGTTTGGGGGTTATTTGTTCCGATGTTAAAAATACAGATTTAAATCTCTTCAACACTATTTGGTTTTAAACAATTTTAATGGACCTTACATGCAAAAGATTATTGTGTTGAGTTTCTGTTAATTGGCTATTGTGGTTTTGTGGGGCTAGGTCCAAAATTTAGTTTTGGATTAGTACTTAAATCTAATTTGTTTGAATTAATAAATTAATTCGGTGTAGGGTGTATGTTTAAAATAATTTAAGATATATATATTTTTTATAAAATTTGATGTAAATGAGTAACGTAGGAGTGCTCCTTGTACTCCAAATTAATAAAATTTATTTAGTTAATAAAAAAAAATTTAAAAGAATTTTTTTAATATATCTAATGATAAGTTATACAAGAGGAAATAATTCTCATTTCTTTCTCAAATTTGTCTTCCAATTCGACTCAAGTTTTGAATTTGATTTATAAGTTGAAATTTCAAAATTTTGACCAATTGAGATATCCCCTTGGGAGTAAGAGAATTTGTCTTGAAATACATGTAAAATTGATCAAGATACACATCTTAACTATCAAAACAAAGAGAAAAAAGAATAAAATCATCATTTTTTAGATCTAATTTCTTTGAATACATTAAGGTCGGTGTGAAATATGTGCTTAAAATAATTTGAGATAAATTAATCTCAAGATGCATGTGAAATTAATCAAGAAGCATCCTAACTATCAAAACAAAAACAAAAAGAATAGAATTATCAAGTTATTTTGGATTGTATGATAATCAATAGTAAACAATTCTCTTATTAATTGATTCTTTTATCTATATCATATCTACATAAAAAAATATTATTAAAAATTAAATCTCAATTATCACTAAAATACTTAACTAGTTAGCATCAATAAATTATTTAATTAGAAAAAGTAATATACTTTTTTTGGTATTTTTTAGAAGGTATATATACTTATGCCCTATGTCTCATGCATGTGCCCTTTACTTTGGCTATCCAAAATATCTTTGACAAAATAGCTTAAATAGTATACATAAAAAGAAAAAAGAATACATCGATTCCAACATATAATTATTTATAAACACATAAAAGGGGATCAACCTATTTATGCCACCCAACCCCTATAGCAATAAGTCTTACACCTCCACAAATCTTCTTCATTTTCCCTGTTATATTCATCACCCAAAAACCAAGAATGAGTTTCCTAAGCCATGACAATATTGGAGGAGGAGGCATGGTTGCGGCTCTGAACGCGAAGGTGTATGGAAATGGCAATGAAACCCTAGTCCTCTCTCATGGTTATGGGTCGGACCAGACCGTCTGGCACGTCCTTGTCCCCACCTTGCATGCTACTTCAAACTCATTGTTTTCGACTTGGTCATCTCCCCTAACGTCGATCCTAAGCTCTACGAAAGTACTCGAGTTTTGAGGGATTTACCCACGACTTGATCTCCCTTCTCGATAAGCTAAACGTAACTAAGACTATCTATGTGGGTCACTCCATGTCTGCCATGATCGGATGCTTAGCTGCAACTAAAAGGCCTGAGCTTTTCCAACACCTTGTCCTACTCAATGGATCTCCAAGGTGTGCTATCCCTTTTTAGATTCACTCACAATCTTATCTCATAACAAAATTTTATTATTAGACGTAAGAGTAACTATGATTGACTATTTTCCCATGATAAACAGGTGATTAATTAATTGTACTGACTGCTTGGCTTAATAATTATCTTGTTTGTATATATTGTTTAGGTACCTGAATACAAAAGGATATTATGGGGGATTTGAGAGATCAGATATTGATTCCATCTTCATCAGTATAGAAAAAAATTTCTGAAATTGGGTTCAGAATTTTGTTCCAAAGGTCATCAGCGTGAACAACACGGTGGCGGTGTCAGAGATTGAGCGCAGCTTAGAGAGGATGAAGCCAAACATTGCACTCAGTGCTGCTAAAACTGTATTGCTCAGTGACCTGAGAAGGAAGCTGCCAGAAGTTGTAGTGCCTTCCGCCATAATTCAGTCTAGCAAAGATTACATCGTTCCAAAGTTTGTGGCATTTTATATGAAGAAGCAAATCGGGAGTCAAGCCAAGATGAAGATCCTCAAAGCAGAAGGTCATTTCCCTCATCTCACAGCTTACCCTTTGCTTTTGAAAGTGTTGAAGAGAGTCCTTCACATCAAAGGATAATATATAGAGAAAAGAATAATTAATCACTCCCTAATAATAGTTGATGAATTTTTTTTTAGTATATACATTGAAGAAGAAGGATTTGAATTCATCTATTATCATGTACTTTACCAATTTAGTTATTATAAATATGAAATTGTACGAATCCCTTGTAAATTGAATGAATAATGAAGGCAATTTCAAAGTTAAGTTCTTCTCTACAGGGTAGTTGTAAATTATACTCTAAACTTAATCCATAAGATTATGCCATACAAATTTAAAATGGAAACAAATTAAAACTTGAATGATTATAAGTCTCACTATTAGTTATTGTCTAAGCTGAGGCTGAAGTAGCTGTTTTTAGATGTTCTATTAGAATAGTTTCAGCAATTGCTAACGAGACAGAATGTATATATCCATTTAGAACGTATCCCTCTAGCTGGAACAATTGGGGTGGAATTGATCATTCAAGCAGGTTCTGTGTGTCGAGCTGAATGCCGATGTTGAATAAACCTAAAAAATTATAGACTCCATGATTCGCCTTTACTGATATTAATAAAATAAAAAAGTATAGTGTCCTAGTAAAATAGTATTGGCTTGAAGGAATGAATGTGGTTTTTGATAAAATTATATAAAAAAAAAGGAATGGTATTTAATTTGGGGAGAGTGTGACGTGTATATATATATATATTAAGTTGGAGAAAATGTTCAATAAAAATGATAATTTTATTTTTTTATTTAAAAATATTAATTTTATGAGTTTTTTTAAAAAAGGTCAAATTTTAATTTTTTTATTTAAATATATTAATTTTTAACATTTTTTATTTAAAAATGTTAATTTTTAACATTTCAACTAAAAAGTTTGTTTATTACATCAACATCACTATCTAATTAATTTTTAAATAAAAAAAGTTAAAAATGAATAACTTTATTTAGAAATTGAAAAAATTAATATTTTTAAATAGAAAAAAAATGTAAGGTTGATCTTTTTATTTACCCATTTTCTCTCTTAAGTTACACAATAATAAGTAATTCTTTAATATTTTTTAATTTATTTTATCTATTTATTATACAATTTAAATTTAAAATATATTATTTTTGTCTAAAAAAATTATTACTAATAATATTTAGCTAATTTAGAGGTGAATCTGATGCAATGTTTTCAAAACCGGATCGGTCATTGAACCGTTTTCAGGTCCGATTTTTGGTTTGACCGATTTAACTGGTTGAATCGATGAACCGGCCGGTTCAAACAATAAGAAAGGTTTGATGAGAGGAGCAAGCTATAGGCATGGATTTTTTTTATTTGGTGTTGATAATTTTGTAATTTTGTTAAAGTTAAAGGTTAAAATGGGT